CTATGGACGCGCCGACCGGGAATGGCCTTATAATTTCTCGGTGCCTGGTGTCGACCTCCAAACGGAGAGAATATCAAGGACCAGGATTATGATGATGGGTACCCCAGATTTCGTATTAAAAGGGAGGGGGTCACAACCCTCCCAGACGAGAAGTCTTAGACCCCACCAGACCATCCATGAAAGGGCGGCCCTTTGCCCAAACCCCCCCGAACCCTCCAAGACATCTCAAATCAGACCCCCCCCAAATGTGCCCCCCCCACTTTATTTTGGAATCCGGAGTAATGTCCCTTTCGCCGGATTTCGAAACTCCCCCTCTTCCTCCTCCTCCGTCCGAGCCCGCCCTGGGAGTCACTTACCTAGCGATCGCTGGCCGCGAGGATCGGCGGTGCGCCCAATGGGGACGGCAAAGAGGACGTGCGTCCCTTCGAGGAGGAGGAGGAGGAGGAGGAGAAAGCTCAGCATGGCTCCGGAATTTTGAGACGCTTTCTGAGCCTTCGCCGAAGCCGCTGCGGGCCTCCCAGAAGCCACTGAAGGCTTCTGACAAGCCCACCGCCGCCTTCTGAGAGGGCCGGCCCCCCTCCAGACGCCAACGGGCTTTTGGATCACATAACTCAACTCTCTGGCAGCCGTTTTCGGGACGGCTCGGGCACCTCGGCGAGGCGCAGCTGCTGGGGAGCCCCCCGAGGGGGGACAACATCCCGGAACCGACGAAGACGGTGAACGTTTTCTTATTTGGCGTTTCGACATCGGGCGGAAGGGGAGGGGGGGCAGGGGGGGTCTGGCTCTGGACCTTTGCTTAGTGCGACTGTTTGCAGCAGTGTGTCCTGTGGGGAGAGGGCGCCCAAACAGCCGAGATCTGCTCCAGAGGGAGGGGGGGAGAGGGGGGGTGCCAGGGCCCGCGCCGATCGGCAAAACAGTGCATAAGAAAAAGATCACATACTGGAACCGACGAAGACGCCCGAAAAAGCCAGACAACTTTCTGCACTCCCTCCTACAGTCGGACTTGATTGGACAGGACACGCGAGAGGACACGAGCTCCTTCCGAGGGCCACATTGCCATAGGAACGTAGGACACAAAAGGTACCCTTGATCTGGCACCTCCTCCAACACACCATGCACCCCGTGTTTCCTCTTCTTCTCCTTCTCCTCCTCATCCTTTTCCTCCTCTCCTCCCCTCCTTCCTCCTCTCCTCCCCTCCTCACAGGAGTCACATATACGTTGGTGGTTGGGGGGCGAAACCCTGAAACGAGTACGGTTTCGGTTCGTGTCGTGCGCGCGAGGCGACGCAGAGTGAATAAGCCGCCCAAGTAGGCCCAAGTCGCGCGCCAACATGGGTCGCGTTGTTTGGGGCGTGACCTGGGTTGTCCAGCGGTTGTCCCGTAGCGTGCGTGGGGGCTGTCTCGGGCTTGTGCCGAATTTGTCCCATTGGGAAGACAAATCCGCAACCAGGCCCTGACTCACGAGTTTGGATTTTCCAGGAATCCCTTTACGACCCCCCCGTCATCAGTCCATCATTTTTTGTTGAGCAACGGCCCACGACCTGGAATACTAAGCCGCCTTGGGCGCTCCCGGGTCTTGCCGCGTGAAATATCGAAGCCAAAACAAGCCAAATTGGCCCCAAGATGTCGCCGAAACAGCCTCATGGGCCCCCAGGACGCCCCACGAAGGAGCCAAAAAACAACATGGCCCCAACCAAGCCAACATCATTTTTTTTTTGGTTTTCGAAGCACTCTAGCCCAAAACGGTATTTGTTGTGCAATCTGTGTAATGCTGTCTCTAGGTTGAGCAGTCCGAAGTGCAACCTATGTGCTATGTGGTGCTTGAGGCTGTCTATGTGGTGCAATCCATGTTGCGTAACCTACGTCGTGCAATCCATGCTGTGCAGTCCATGTGACGCAGCTCGCGTTGCCGAGTTCAAATTGTCAAAGCCACGGCTCGTGCAGCTTCCGACCCACCTACCCGCAACTTGGTTCGCGAAACCAATGCGGCGGCGATCGCGATGACTGCATTGCGCTGGCTGGCGGGCTCGCGCGCAGAGCGGCCAGCCGCTCTGGCGCGGCCGCGGTGGCGCAGACCGCTGGGGACTTCGGGGCGCTTCTCGCAGGCCTCGCTGGCGTGCGGGCGCTTTGCTGCGAATCGGTGACTCGGGCGGGCGAGGTCTCATGGCGTTGTCGACAACGGCAGGCACGATGGTGACGCTGGCAAAACTGGTGACGAGGATGACGATGACGACGACAAGGCTAATGATGGTGGTCATGCTGACCACGCCGAAGGCGATGATGGTGTCCGCGCGTCGGTGATGGAGGTTTTGGAAAGATTTCGCCATTGCCGCGCGGCCGACGGGCGCGGGTGGCCCGCGTGATCTTACTTGACAGGGATCCCGCCCCTGGCATCCGCGCAAAAACGTCCGACTGCTTTGGGCATGCGCGCGCGAGAAGCCTGATTGGTCGCATGTGGTGGACATGTTGCAACGCTGATGGTCCCCGTAAGAAGTCGCAAGGGCGCGCGCGCATTTTTTGGAAACAAGAACCATGCTACAAACTATTTTCTTTCAGCGTGCTCCGGGAATCTCGATCTCGGCTTCACTGCGAAGCCTAAAAAGTTTGTGATGCATTTCGGCATGCGCGCGTGACAGCGCGCGCGACTGGACTTCGCCCCATTTTGTCAAATTGTGCTCTTGAGCACGGCTCGCCAGCCGCCTCGCACGCCGGGCAGCCCACCGCCGGCGGGCACCGCGTGGCGTGGCACGCGGGGCAGGGCGGGATCGCCGGGCAGGTGAACGAAGAGGGGCAGCTCGGCACCGCTGGGCACCGCAACAACCACCCGTAGGCCGCCTGCGAGGACCCCTGCACGACAGTCTCCAACAGATCCGGTGCCATCCGCCACGCGCCGGAGGCGCGAACAAAGCTTTGAGCCCGAAGAAGTACGGAGAAACAAATGAAAGGTTCCACAACTCTCGAGTGCGTTTCTCGGGCGTTCAACCTAAACGACCTTCCTTCGAAGCTCACGCACAAAGCTAGAACGACACCGCGGATCTATGTATATATATATATATATATAGGTGTTTTCGGGGCACCCGTTTTCACCATCCTTGCACTATTTTTGAAAGATCTCGGAATGCGCGCGCGACGACTCACGCATGTGCACTTCGTCACATATTTTTGGCAGCGGCTTCTTAACAACATATGATTAATGATAATGGGTGTTTGCGTATAGCAATTGTGCAAGATGAAGAAAAGGACCGATAACACACATCCTGTGATGGTACGGGCTCATATTCAAAATGGGTGATGGGGCGGAATCGTATGTCAATTGCAACACACATAACGTACCGCTAAGTCTGGGGGGGGGACGTAGACCCTATCACCTTCCCAGCAAGGAACCATATACGTAGTGCAATGTATTTGTTTTGCAACTTGCGTCGGGGCGGCGACAGCGGCAATACTGCTGCCAGACCGACAGGTCGGCCCAGACTATGGGCGGCGACGAGGCGGCGACGGCGGACACATAGCCGGCAGACCGACAGACAAGCCCAGCAGGTACGGGCGGCGACGAGGCGGCAATGGCGGCAACATAACCGCCAAACCGACCAACATGCCCAGGCACGGGCGGCCACGGGGCGGCGACGGGGGCAGCATAGCCGCCAGACCGATCGACAGGCCAAGTGCCTTAGTAACATGTGAGAACCTCTGAGTGCAAGCAACGTTTTGGGAATCTATTTCCCAACCATCCTGTGGTGTTGGGTCCTCGTTTAGAGAAGGCAACGCCCCGCGTTCCTTCCTTCCCGCTGCTCCCGCCTCCTCCCCCTCCTCCCAGCCGCCTCGTCATCGTCATCGTCATCATCGTCATAGGGAGCTCCACCGAAAACCATAGCGGGAGCGTCCGCATGGCACCGCATTTGGCACACCCCCCACACGGTTCGTGGCCCCATAGGGAGCTCCACCTAAGGCCCCAGCGGCAGCGTCCGCATGGCACCGCCGCCTCATTTTGGCACACCCCTCACACGGTTCGTGTGCCCATAGGGAGCTCCACCGAAGGCCCCAGCGGGAGCGTCCGCATGGCACCGCCGCACAGGGAGCTCCACCGAAGGCCCCAGCGGGAGCGTCCGCATGGCACCGCCGCTCCATTTTGACACACCCTTGGCACGATTCGTGGCCCCATAGGGAGCTCCACCGAAGGCCCCAGCGGCAGCGTCCGCATGGCACCGCCGCTCCATTTTGGCACGCCCCCCACACTGTTCGTGGCCCCATAGGGAGCTCTGCCGAAGGCCCCAGCGGGAGCGTCCGCACGGCACCGCCGCCCGATTTCGGCACATCCCTCACACGTTTCGTGGCCCCTTGGCCCCCATAAGGAGCTCCGACGAAGGCCCCAATGGGGGCGTCCGCATGGCACCGCTGCCCCGTTCGGCGCACCCCTCACACCTGTCGTGTCCCCAAGGGAGCTCCACCGAAGGCTCCAGCGGGAGCGTCCGCATGGCACGGGCCGCGCACGGGGCTCGGGCGAAACCAAGAAGACTCCCAGCTCGCCCGCGTCTCCTGCTCAAACACGCCGCAGTCCTTTTTGCTGCCCCCCCTCCTTCATCTCCTCTCCCTCGTGGTACTCGCAACAGCATGTGGTTGGGTCCTTCGTCAAACTACTTTTCATTTATTTGTTCATATAGCGTGCCCGATCCGACACCAATCACACACCGACAGCTGCACCATTCCCCACACACCTCCTGTATTACCTGGCGGGTGGTCCTATATGTGATGATGCGTTGCCAGAATTCTACTAAATCAATGGGCCTCGCATGTTCACATCAGGCAAGCACACGCTTCACGGAGGCAAACCAACTGGCGGAGTCTGACTACACATCGTCAACGTAGCGAGAGCTGGAGATACCACCCAAGACAATTAGCACTCTGCAGTGGCAACGTAACCTAGCCTCGCAAGAAATGCTGAACCTGCCATCTGTACAGGAAGGACGAACCGTTGCGTCTCACAAGCGAGCAACATCTGGATCAGACAGGAGACGACCTGGCGACGCTTAAGGTGGCCAACTTTAGCACGGTACGTGGTTCCATTGAAATGCAACAGATCGAACGCGTGCAACTGCATTCGAACCGCTCGAACCATCCCGATACACATGCAAATCACGCTCATGGAATTCAGAAACGCTCGAACCATGTTGATACCCATGCCAGCCACGTAACGGGTGCAAACGAATCAGACGTGGACGTTGATATGCCCAACTAGCTGCCACAACGTGAAGCAATCGATTTCCAATTCAACGATTCTATACTGCATATGGAAGGATGGCGGGGATAGGGAGGATGGGGAGGGGAAGAATGGAGGGAGAGAGGGAGGGATAGAGGAATGCTGGGAGGGGTTGGGGAAGACGAAAGAACGAAATGGGCAGGAGGGGGGAGGGAATGGAGGGACAGGGGCGGAGAGGGTGGGTGGTAACAAAAAAGCGCGGGCGAACAACGACCCTCTGTAGAACTTTCCGGGCGTGGAAGCGGACTTCTCGGCGCCAGACGCGATCTGCGTGCACCCCCGGCAGCCCATGCTCTTCCACCACTCCGTTGGCAGCACGAGCCTGCGACAGGCAACGCGTGACGACGCACGGGGCGGCAGACCACGAAGACGTAGAGGACGAGCCGGGAGCAGAGCACGGAGACGGCAAAAAAGCCGACGAGGCGGGGAAGGAGGAGGCTGGTGATGAGGAGCCGCGACTCGTCTGGTGGGGCATTAGACTGCGATGGAAACGCTGCTCGTTGGGCACTCTCCGGACATGTTAGCATCTTGCCAGCCGCAGGGCTCTGGTCGCCCTCGCGTGCGCGGGAGGCCCCCCCTCTCGAGCCTCGAGGGCGGGCGGTGCCCCGAGGGGGACAGCCTTTGAGGCGACTTCGAGCCTCGTGCCGCACGGGGGCGGGAGGATGGAGGAGAGATGGAGGGAGGGAGCTGGGAGGAAGCAGGACGAGGATAAAAGGTACGGACGTAACTGAGGCGGGGGAGTGTACGACTTGATGCCGGCCGACGTGTGCCATCGAATGGGCGGTCCAGCACTCCACTCCAGCTTCACCAGCCATGCTCCTTCCCCGCCTTTCATGCCCTCCCCTCCGCTGGCCAACTTCGCCTCCTCCTCCTCCTCCTCCTCCTCCTCCTCCTCCTCTCCCACTGACTACACTCTCTCCTCCTTATGCCCGCCCCCCATCCTACCCCTCCTCTCTCCTTCTCTTCCCCGGATCACCTGAAGGGGCCCTGGGACACACAAATACACACACAAATAAAAGGATTCCCCATATTTTCCAATATTTTCTAGGTTTCTGTCTTCCCCCCTTCCCATATGTTCCAATATTTTCTCGGGAATCGACGATTAATTGTGTCTGTGTGTTGTTTTCCCCGGATCACCTTGCTTCGCGCATCGCGCCCCGCGATTTGCGGTTCTTCTCGCGCCCCCGCGATGCCACCTCTGAGGAGGGCGGCTCCCCGATCCAGGCGGCGACCCCGAAGGCGATCCTCTGTGGGCCTCTGGGGGTGTCCCAACCTCCCTTCCTTTTAGTCTCCTACCCGTCCCCTCGCTGTCCCATCCTCCCTCTCCCTCCCTCCCTGGATGACACTTGCAGGAATTCAGTCTTTGACCGAACTGCTCAAACACATCGTGATCGACTCGTATACAGAGATACGCATTACATGCGGAACACCCGTACCGATTATCTATCTGTAAAACCATTGAGATGCGAAACGGAACGACCTACATTGAACCATCGCGTGTGCTTCGCGTGCTCAAATTCAAATTACCTCGGAACCTTGACCATAGCGCTGGTCAACGCGACCCTTGCTAAACGCGCGATTGGAATCCCACCAACTCTTTGGGCTAGTGTGGCCTAGCGATGCCTTCTTTCCTCGCCCAAAACCCTCTTCCCTTCGGGGATGGGTTACCCTCACCCTCCCGTCCCTGAGTTGTGTTTTGTTGGGGGGGGGGGGCAAGGGTTCGCGAGGGGTTAGGCTGTCCAGAATTGGCCCAAGAAAGCCCCATGCGGTCCTCCGAAGCTCCAAGATGCCCCCGAAGCGTCTCAAACTGAACGAATCTTGTTCAAGAGTTATTCTGACATACCTCCAAGAGGCCCGGCGAAGGCCACATGACGGATCCACATTCTCTCGGACCCCCCCTCCCAAGGATCCCCCCCCACGCGGCCAAACTCATTCAACAACCTCAATCGCATCAATGACGTTTGCCTTCTCGCTTCCGATGCGTGTTTGAGGCCTCAAGGTTGCCCCGAGATGGCCCACGAGAGCCCCACGAGGGGCCCTACGAGGGACCCCCAGGGGGCCGCAGGAACGCCCATGAGCTGCCCACGAGCGCCCCCAATAGCGCCCCAAGAGGCGATTTTGATGGCTCTGGGGGGAGGGGGGCTAAATCAGGGACCCTCTCTCCTTTGACCGATGACCTCCAACTGGGCCCCACGATGCCTCCAGAGCCTCAAGAGAGCCCCAAGAGAGCCCCACGACGATTTGTTTCACTGTATGACTCTTCGTTTCTTTTTTTGAGGTCAACTCTCCTGGGCAAACTTTCTAAACGAGCTGGTGCGGTTACACGAAACGTGCAGATTTGATAGGGTTTCGAATGATGGGGTGGACAACCAAATACAGGTCGGCGGTGTATCGCGGTGAGGCGCGGGGTTGTCCTGTGGTTGGTTTGTAATTCTCCTGGGGTTTGCGACGTTGTTGTCGAGTGGGCTGTCCCGCGAGTGGTAATGTGGTTTCCCAATGGCTCTACGATGAGTTGTGCCGTGGATTGCCCCATGGTTGTTTCAGGGCCGTTCCGTGGGATGGCTTATGGTTGCCACTTTGGGACTGCAACCTAAACTGCGACTCGACATGCAAACGCGATGCACATCGACGTGCAACTCCACGTGCAATAAACTTCACATCACAGTGTACATCGGATTAGGAATCTCAACGCAATTCAACATGCACACCGAATTGGAATCAACATGCAAACCAACATGCGCATCGACACGTGGATCGTACTGCACGTTCGGGAAACATATCGAATACCAAATCGAAATTCAAACCGAATTCCAATCAACAACGACGACAGGCTGCGAGGCGGTTTTCCGTGTTCCCTGCAACAGTTCCAATATGACGGTTCCAAACGTTCAGCCTGTGAATTTCCAGATTTCAATATTGGACATGGTTGAAGAACGCACGAGAGCCCCCGCCCGAACACGCCCCGTTATCTTCTCGGAATCACGTTCTCATAATTTTCTGGGGGTACCCCGGGACACGCACAATTCCAACGGATGCGCCCTCTCGAGCCACACTCCCTCGTGAATTGCGACACGTTCGCGCTCCCGAGGCCTCGCCCCAACGTAGATTACAGCAAATTCGCGCTCCGCCTGCGTCCCGGAACACCAGAAGTCTTTTGTTACTTGCGACGGCCGCTCCCGAGGCTGCAGTCCTCCGTGAGCTGCGCAGCTTTCGCGTTCCCGAGGCCACAGTCCTTGTGCAAATGACGACGCGCTTGCGCCCCCGAGGATACCACCTCTCGTAAGTTGCGCCGGCCTCGCGCTCCGAAAGCCGCAACCCGTGGGAACACACACACATATATATGTATATGTATATATATATATATATACGTGCATATATATATATATATATGTATGCACATAAAACATTCGCGTCAAACGGATCCCCCCCTCTCCTGAGCAGAAACGTTAAACATTGTCTGTGTTGGCGTCATGTGTTAGGGGGGGAACTCTTTGGCCCCCCGCCGTTTCCTGAAAATCAGGCGCTGAGCCCGGAGCCACTAGGTGTGCGCGCCCCCGGGGCCGTGAATCCTCGTCAGATCAGACGCGAGCTCCCGAGGCCACCATTTTCAAATGCGTGCAACCCAACCGAGTTGCCAGCTGGCCAACCGACAAGCCAACAAACGAACCGACCGAACAAGCGCAGACACACAAGCAATCAGAGGGGGGGGCAGCAGCACAGGGCGACGCGCTCCATATTACAACTGACATGAGCATCGGCATACACATCAAATTTCAATCGACACGTATGATACTGGAGAAAAAACCCAATCATATTTTTTTAATCTTCCAATTGCTCCCTTTGTAATCGGGCTATAGGGCGGGCTATAGGGCTATCGGGCCATAGAACTGTGACCTATAGGGCCATAAGGCTATAGGGCTATGGGGCTATAGAGCTATATGGGCTATGGGGCTATAGGGATATAAGGCTGTTAGGGCTATAGGGAGATAAGGCTATAGGGCTACAAGGCTATAGGGCTATAGGGCTCTTGGAAACCCCAGGGCACCGGGGCACCCCCGGGCACCCGTGCACCCGGGCCCGGCCACCGAACTCGGCCGCCGGGCACCCGGGCACCCGGGCCCGGCCACCGAAATCGGCGACGCACCTCACCTAACCCTTTGATCCGCTAGGACCCCTACAGAGGCAAGCTCTGATTGGGGAATTTATCGAAATGTAGATTCGAGTGCACGCGACAGGCAAGCCGAAACTCATATCCACTCGCAGTGGGATGCCCGTCGACGTTCAAACCAACACACGAATTTATCCCCCCCTCAGCGCCCTAATCCCCGGGCTGGTTGGCTATGAGGTGCGCATCTCTGGGGGGCAACGAGAAGGTGGGGACTGGCACAGGGGGGAAATTATCGATCTGGACTCGGGGACGCACCGCCGATGGGTCGGCGATGGGCTCCCGATCGCCCATCCCCATGCTCCTGGGCGGGGTGGGGCCATCGGGCCCCTGCCGGCGATCCACTTGCCCTCGCTCGGACGTCCCTTCCCCGTGCAGTTTCCGACGTCGTGGGTTCCTTCTTGCCGTAGGGTGATCCAGTTTGCTTCTCGAGGGTCCCCGCCGAGAGAGAAGTGCGCACGTCCGAGCGATGCCTCCCCCTCCCCCTCCCCCCCCCCCCCCCCCCCCCCCCCCCCCCCCCCCTCCTCCTCCTCCTCCTCCTCCTCCTCCTCCTCCTCCTCCTCCTCCTCCTCCTCCTCCTCCTCCTCCTCCTCCCCCTCCTCGTCAATGGGCAATTGGAGGTCGACGCATCCCCCCCTGTGCCTGCCCCCCCCTCCGAAGAATCCCTGTGCCCTCCGCTGGCCGAGGGCAGACCGCGGAGGGGGACGCGGGGGAGCCTTGGCATGGTGCCTTGCCGTCGCTCGGACGTCCCTTTCCCGTGCATTTGTCGGTTTCGTGCGTGTTTTTGTTGCTCGATGGTCCAAGATGGTCCTCGATGGTTCTCGCCGGTAAAAAAAATCACACGTCCGAGCGATGCCAAGGTGCATGGACGGGGAAGCGGGAGGAACGGCAGGGCGAGGAGGGCGGGAGGAGTGGACGGGGAGGCGGGAGGGGGGAGGGTGGAACGAGGAGGCGGGATGAAGGACGAGGAGGGCGGGAGGAAGGGCGCGGAGGGCGAGAGGAAGGGCGAGGAGGCGGGAGGAACGACGAGGAGACGGGAGGCGGGAGGAAAGACGAGGAGGCGGGAGGCGGGAGGCGGGAGGCGCGGGGAGGAGGGTTCGGAACGAAAAGATCCCTCTCTAGCCGTCCGAGCTCCAAGCCCCGTCTGATTAGGAGCTCCCGTGATGGTGGCGCAAGTGGCAGCCGAGCGCCACCCAGATCAGGACTCCTTCAGCTCCCCTTTTCGGGGGCGCGCAAACATGGATAACTGGTCCATGGGTTTGGCGTTCTGTCGCCAAATCCATGGATCGGGGAAAATGCCCTCCCCAAAATGCGGCTGGTGCCGCCTCGCTCGGCGGCAGAAATCCGCGATTTCCAGTGGGAACGGGACCCGTTGCCAATCCACGCCCCCTTGATCCATGTTTGCGATCGCCTGACCTTTACAGTCGGGACGTTGACCTAAGGAACCCTAGGTAAGGAACGAGGCCTCTTTTTTCCCCATCGGTTAAAGTTCGATTTCCCATCGACAACCTGAGAACAACCCAAGGCAAGCTGTGACACAATCCAGGAGCACGGAGCCCCTCCCCAACGAAACGGGCTCCTTCTTCAGCACCCCGACTTTATTGAATGGGGCCCCAAGACACACAAAAAAATACACACACATAGAAATAATCCTAATGTTTTCCTATATTTTTGGGGTTTTTGTCTTCCCCCCACTTCCCATATTTTCCCTTATGTTCTGGGGGATCGACGATTAATTGTGTCTGTGTGTTTTTTCCCTCCTGATTTATGTTCTGATTGGTTTATCTCGTGCTCCCTCCACCTCTCGGCGGTTTGCTGCGAGGCGTGGCCTCGCCTTCCCCCGCGGTGCACCGCGGGGGCCCGACGCTCCAGGCGCCAGAGTGACGCCCCCGCGGCCTGCGCAAGAGAAGCTTGGAGAAAGGCGGAGGAGGGCATGTCCCCCTACAGGGGGGATTTTGGACGAGGAATAAAAGACACAGTAACTATGATCAAACACTATTCCAAAAATAGTATGGGGACTATTTTTGGAATATTTTTTGACCTTTTTGGGGTATTTAGGGGGTATTTTTTATGTTTCGTCGAACATCCCCCTGTATGGGGACACGCCTGACATAATGTTACGTATGTGTTGGGCGGGCGGGTGGGAGTGAGCACGACGGCTTGCGGGCGGGTGGGAAACATAACCAGTATTCAAAACATGCCCAAACATCTGCAAAAATAGTCAAGACATCGTCCCCCGACCACTTTTTTACTGTTTTGGAGCATTCCTCCCGTGGAGGGGCACGCCCGACTTACGCTGAGGAGGGCATGGGAGGAGAGCGCGGCTGGCTCGCGTCACGATGCCGCGGGCAGTGGACTCTGACGCCGCGTGGATCGCTCGACCCTGAACGATCGCGGCGCTCCGACGGCGCCTCACCTGGAACGCCCGCGCCGGGGTCGCCGCCGCGTCAACGCGGCGCAAACCTGCCTGCTGCTGGAGGTGGGCAAGTGGGGGGCTTCCTCCCCCTCTCGGCGGCGAGCCCGGGGGGAAACGAGAAGGGGCGGGCCTTCTCAGAAGGCTCGCAAGTCCCCAGGTCTTCTGAAGAGTCTCCCAAGCCTTCCCCGGAGACGCAGAAAGCGTCGCAGAAGAGCGTAGGCTTTCTGAGAAGTCCCGCCGTCTTCTGAGAAAACCTTCTCCTTCTCACTTCTCACTCCCCCCCTCACTCGCCGCCGAGCTCTTCTTCCTCCTCCTCCTTTTCCTGCTCAACCTGCTCCTCCTTCTCCCCCTCATCCGTCATGGGACTTACCACCTCGGGTAACCGTGGGCCCGTGTTTTGCCGCCCCTCTGGGCCATATTGGAACCCTCTTGGTTTTTCTTCGGCCCTCGTGGGACCGTGCATGATCCCTCTTGGGCCATCCTTGGACGCTTGTGGGCCATGCTGGGGCTCTGTATGCCGTCTGGAGGCTTCTCTGCAGTGACCTTCGCCCTTTGAAGGTTCTCTTGGGGCACCCCCTCAAAAGGCCTCCCAGAATTATCTTGGCCACGGCCCAAACATGGTGGCGGGTTTGCACGGACATCCTGAACAAACTCTGCTCTGTGGAATCTGCGAACGTATGGGTCAACAAACACACGAACACGTAAATCGGCCAGCCTGGCCGAGATCCCATTGGTCCAAGAAAATCTGGATCGTCCAAGTAAATTTTACAGACGGTGGTCGTCATGTCTCCTATCTGCGCAACGAGGAGAATTAAGAGATCATCGCTACATGTCATCGGGCACGGGACGAGGTGACGCGATCTATGCCGAAAAGGCGCGCCATAGAGTGCTGAACACCGAAGATGTCCCGAGACACAAGAAGATCATGTAGATCAAGCCCACCAACAACTTGGTCGAATGCCTCGGCACGTCTCAGCTTCATTTCCCTGCGAATCGTGCGCATGCAACACCTGTGCCACAGACTCCGACATGCAACATACCAGACCAACGAACACCATTTTATGTGGTGATGGGCGATGGTCAACGAAGGCCGCATTCTGATATGGCACCCGTAGTGTGTACTGCCCAAACGATGACTGCAAGGCCTGCAAGGCCTGGATTGCACGCATGCTAGTTTGTGGCACCAATCAACACGCGCCTGTTGCAAGCGTCGCTCGAAATCATGCCACAAGGCTATTCACACATAACGCTTGAAGCTCTGGCAACACTCAAGCAAACATGCGGAGCAATCAAAACATACTCAGATTTTCATGAAATCAACCGTATTAAAATGCATATTGTAATGTCTTACAATTGTCTGCTTAAACCCCGACTTAAGGTCATCCTCGGAACCACTCGAATCATCTTGGGGTGCTCCCCTGGACCACTGACGCACCATGTTGGATCCATGTTGAAGCCGTTGGGAGGTATCTTAGTCCGACAAAGGCAATAACCGAACACCATTTACACATCACATTCTGTGTTTTACTATGCTGCATGGCTCTGGCCGTTTTGCAAACACTGGGGCGGTGCAGGCGTGATTTCGGGTGGACGTCGGACATTCACATGACCCGTGAACTCGAGAGGGAATCCAGGGTGGTGGTCAACACGGCGAGTCCTAGGGGCAACATGTCTTGACCTGAGAACATGCTAGCGCACTTAGGGCACCGCACACGCAACGCACTCGAGGAGCCCGACACAAATTATGCGCATAGATCACCGCGCATACCAGCCCCAACAAGCATAAGGGGCGCGCCTAACGCAAGCAAGGGCAATGTGACGTGACGCTTCTTGGGGGCCTTTTGCAGGGCGCCCTGTGCCACAGGGAGGTTTCCTGGGAAGTTCTGGGGGTTCCCAGCTGGCCACTTGGGGGTCTGCGGGGCTATGCGAGTGAGTTTCTTCTCACTCGGCGTTTCCACCTTGGGCAGAAGAGGGGGAGAGGTGGGGGTCCGGCTCTGGGCCTCTGCTTAGCGCGGGGGTTTGCGCTAGTGCGTCCTGTGGGGGAGGCCCCAGCTGCTTGAAACAGGCGCTAGAGACAGCCAAGGTCAACTTCATTAGAGGCCTCCTAGATGGGGTCGAAGGACCGCGCCGCATTGCCGATACATCGGCGATGCATCGGCGATGCATCGCCGATGCACTGGCGATGCATCGTCGACGCCGGCGATGCATCGGCGACGTCGGCGAGGAAAATATCGGGCTCCACATCAAGCCGCACCGTGGATGCATCGGCGATGCGGATCCTCCGACCTCATCTACCCTGACACCATCTGTCTGGGAGGCCTAGATCCATGGGTGGTGGGGTGAGGGGGGTGCGAGGGCCCGCGCCGATCAGCAAAACCATGAATAAGAAAAGGATCGCCAAAGGCTTTGTGACCGTCCAGAAGTGTACCGGGGCTGTCTTGGCCTGGGCTCCTGGGGCCCTCACGAAGCCTCTCGGAAGCCTCTCTCGGGCTCCCTGGAGCTCTCCGGGCAGACTTCGGGGGTCAGCTTCCGTGGTCCGTGTGCGGGCACCTGCGGACACCTTAGTGGGTCCATTTTGGGTCCGTCTTGGAGGCCTTTTGGGACGCTGGGTGCTATCTTGGGGCGGTCTTACGGGCCTCTTGGGTCGTCGACGCTCTCAAGGCTGAACTAATGTACATGCTTGCCTCGAACAACATACATTTGCGATGAGACGGTTTTGGCTGGTTGATGTTCCCTGCGAGGCTTCTGGGGTGGCCCGGTGTGCGAGTCGAAGCATCGCGGGCGCTTCGCGCACGCTCTAGGCAGTTCGGAATCCAGCGCGTGCAGCAGAGGAAGGTGCAAATCCCGAATCACTCGAAAATTTAAGTCTGAATCTAGCTCGTTCGTAATGGAAGGCTCGATTAGTATTGTTTGGGTCAGGGTCAGGGTAGATTTTGATGTGTTGGGTTCGGGGATGAGTGAAGATGGCTCGGCAAAGAGGTTAGCCTCTGGAAAACATTGTGAAGGTCTGGTGGTGATCTGGGGGAACCGTGGGACCCGAGGGGCTGTCTTGGAGGCCATCCCAGGCCGTCTTGCGCCATTCTTGGGGCAAAGACGTATCAGAAGCAATCAAGAACGTCCAAAAGCAGTCCCACACGGCCCAAAACCCCCCGAAAGGCCCCCAAGACGGCTTTAAAGCCCCGCGCCGAACCCGACAGGCTCAACTCAAGACGGCCTAGGAGACCCGAAAGGCATCTGGCAGGCTAGCAAGATGTTTCCAGGAGGCGAGTCAAACGCCCACCCCAGAGGTGCCCGAAAGACGCCCACATACTCGGAAAGGTCCCAAGAGTGCGTCAGAGGCCGCCCACTCAGACGGCGAAGGAGGTCCCACGAGGCTCCTAGACGAACGGCCGAAGAGGCCCTCGAAATGCTACTAAGAGCCTCTTGAGAAAACCGCGCTGCTTTCCTTACGGTGTGGCACTCTCGCCCGCTCTGCCCGCTCATCTTCCCATCGTTCTTGTCCTCCGTAATCGATTAGTGGTCCAGATCATATCACTCAAAGCAGACGATATGATACACTACCATGCCATGTCGGCCAAGAAATCCTGGAACCGAGCCGAACTGGCCGAACCGAACAGGGCCGAACCGTACCTGTGTGAGCAGGTATTTTTCAGCACGAACCGAACCGGTCGTTTCTTCGCCCGAGCCGAACACGCTACGATTTTAACGCAGTGCTGGAGCTGACCTCCTCCCCAAACCAGACCCGACCGGAGGCGCTTCTGAATCTAACCTGCCTGGGCAAGAACTTTCCTGAAGAGACCATGCAAAAGACCGTTCACGAGCAGACCAGGGCGGAGCGGCGGAGGAGGAAGAGGAGGAGCGGGGGTGGAGGGGGAGGGCAGAGAGGAAGGATGCTGATGATGATGATGATGATGATGATGATGATGATGATGATGATGGCGATAATGATGCTGAGTCTGATGATGATGATGATGATGATGATGATGGTGCTGATGATGATGATGCTGACGATGGTGATGATGCTGATGATGCTGATGACGACGATGATGATGATGATGCTGTTGCTGCCACTGATGATGATGCTGATGGTGACGAACATGATGTTGATGTTGTTGATGATGATGCTGATGATTGGTGATAGTGAGGAGGAGGAGGAGGCAGAGGAGGAGGGGGATGAGGATGATGAGGACGCAGGCGGAGGCTGAGCGGGAAGGAGATGGGGGAGGATGAGGAGGCGGAAGAAAAGGAGGAGGAGGAGGAGGAGGAGGAGGAGGAGGAGGAGGAGGAGGAGGAGGAGGAGGAAGACGAGAGTAACGCAACAGGCCCCGCCTCATGCTTGAATAACGTCAACGAGGAGGGGAGGACTGGGAGGAGGAGGATGATGAGGATGGATGACGCTGGTGCTGCTGCTGCTGATTCTGATGTTGGCGATGATGATGATGCTGCTGCTGCTGATGTTGATGATAAGGAGGAGGAGGACGATGAACATGAACATGATGCTGTTTATGCTGATGATGATACTGATAACGCTGATGCGGTTGATACTGCTGCTGAGGATGATGTTGATGGTCATGTTGACGATTCTGATGCTGCTGCTGATGGTGGTGATGATAACGACACCGATGAGGATGTCGACGATGACGATGGCGATGCTGATAACGACGATGATGCTGATGCTGTTGACGTGATATCCCGCCAACCCTCTGGGCGACAGGCGGTCTAACGAGATCTTTCTTCCCTCTTCCAACAACTCCTTCTTCCACTTCGGGGAGGGGTTTATCACTGTTCCCTATTAATCTACATCCCCTCCTCCACCCAGCCGACGGCCAACCCGGAACCATGCCAATCGCATGAGCCCCCCCCACCATCCCTATCAAACACATCCATACAAGACGCACTCTGCCTCAACATTTGGAGCATGCGCGGCCATCCCGTGACCATTTGGTATGGGTATTTTTCGGGACGGCTGGGGTGCCAGCAGATCCCACCTGCCTTCTGGTCGCAGGTGGTCGACCGACTGGTTTGACACATAAGTGGCTGCTGCCTTTTCGCCTTACCGTTTCCGATGGGATTTCGAAAGCTCCACACGGCTCCAAAATTGGCAAAGAAAGCTCAAAGTCGGGCCCAAGAGCCCCTATTGGATCCCAGTGGCTGGCGCACCTGGCGCGGCTGGAGCACGTGGAACACTGGGCGCACGTGGAGCTCGTGCCCCACCTGGCGCGCCTGGCACGCCTGGGCCTCGAGGGTCTGGTGCATCTGGAGTTCGTGGCGTCTGCGGCGTTCTTACGCGATGCGCTGACTCACGGGCGTTACGTTTGAGTCGGGCCTGTCCCCCTACAGGGGGATTTTCGACGAACAATTAAAAATACACCAACAATAATCAAACAATAGTCCCAAAAACAGCCTGGGGACTATTTTTGGATTTTTTTTGACCTTTTTGGGTATTTTGGTGGTATTTTTATTTGTTCGTTGAAAATCTCCCTGTAGGGGGACACGCCCGACATAATGTTACGTATGGTTTGGGCGGGCGGGTGGAAGTGAGCAAGACGGCTTGCGGGCGGGTGGGAAACTTGACCCCTCGCCCTACCCTCTCCCCTGGACCTGGACGGGGCGTTGCGCGAGCGGTCAGAGGGTCCCTTTTGGCCCAGGATGGCTCCAAGAGGGCCTCAGAGAGCCCAGGATGGCCTCCAGGATCGCTCAAGATAGCCCAACATGGCTCAAGATAGCTAACAACATGCGCCCAAGAGGCCCCAAGAAGGCCACAATGCGGATCCAAATGCCTTTGGATACCCTCAGGAGCTCCCCGAGAAGCCCAACACCTTGAAAACCCGAGGGGCAACCAATGATTTTGGCCTGGTCGCCTTTTCGTTTCCGATGTGCTCGCTGTAGGGGCCTCAGCTGGCCCAAGAGAGCTCCACGAGGGGCCCAAAAGGCCTCCAATACGGCCCAAAGACCGCCCAAGAGCACCCCAAGAGGGGGCCAAGAGCGTCCCAAGATGTTATTTTGATGGCCCAAAGGGGGGACCACAGGTTAGGACCCCCCCCTCTTTTCACCGACACCCTCCACGAAAGCCCCAAGAGGCCCTCCAGGGCTCCCAAGAGGCCCCCACGAGAGCCCCAAGACGCCCCAAAAGAGCCCCAAGAGGACCCCAAGGCCCCCCAAAGAGCCCCACGATGCCCCCAAAGAGCCTCAACAGTCTCCCAAGACGCCCCCCCCAAAGCCCCACAACTCCAAGAACGCCTCCGATGCTCCAAGACAACCCCCAACACGGCTCCACACGTTTCTCCCCCTCCTCTCGTTGACCGCTCTCTTTCACTGTTTGCGTCTCTGCACTCCATTACCCGTCAGCTCTCGTGGGCATGGTTTCTAAATGGGCCGGCGGAGATTTGCGAAGCGTAAGCAATTCCACCAGCCCCTTCGGCGACAGGTGGTCAAAGGAGGGTCTCTTTCCTCTTCCACGGCCCTTTTCCCTTCGGGGAGGGGAACCCTCCCCCTCCCCTCCCTGTTTTTTTGGGGGGCGGCCCGATGTGTCAGAGGGTCCTTTCTCGGCCCCTGGGAAGGCCACTTTTTGACACCCCTCACGAGGATCGTGGCCCGTGAGGGGGGTAGCTACATCGAGGACCCCCCTCTTTTGACCGACCGCCTCCAAGATGGCCCCCAGAGGTCCCCCCCAGGGCTCCCAAGAGGCACCCAAGAGGCACCCACGAGGCACCCAAGAGGGCTCCAAGAACGCCCCACGAGGCACTCGAGAGGGACCCAGGCCCCCGAGCGGCCTCAGAGAGCCCGATATGACCTCCAAGATGGCACAAGGTAGCCCAATATGGCTCAATATGGCTGTTTGACTATGCGTGTCTCTTCCTCTCTCCCCCCGTCAACTCTCATGGACATCTTCGGGATGGGATGGTGGGGATACGCGAAGCGTCAAGACTTGTTGATGATAATGTCGATGCTGCTGCTGATGCTGCTGCTGATGTTGTTGATGGTGATGACGGGGATGCTGATGCTTATGTGCTGATGATGATGATGATGCTGCTGCTGCTGCTGCTGATGATGATGATGATGATGATGATACTGCTGCTGCTGCTGCTGATGATGATGATGATGATGATGATGGGGTGATGATGATGCTGATGATGGCGATGGCGATGATGACGATGATGCTGACGATGCTGATGTTGATGACGAGGATTCAGATGCTGCTGCTGCTAATGATGATGCTGATACTCATGCTGATGATGTTGAGGACGCTGCGGATGATGAGGATGCTGATGATGGTGCTGATGCTGATGATGACGACACTGACGATGAAGATGATGATGCTGCTGTTGTCGATGATGATGATGATGCTGATGATGATGATGCTGATGTTGACGATAACGATGCTGATGATGATGCTGCTGCTGCTGCTGATGATGATGATGATGATGATCATGCTGATGCTGATGTTGATGCTGCTGATTTTGTGGATGAGCTACTGATTATCAGGATGATGATGGAGGATCACGAGAACGAGACGCGGGGGCAGGAGGAGGAGGAGGAGGTGGAGGAAGAGGAGGAATGGGAGGAGGAGGACGAGGAGGAGGAGGCGAGGAAGGAGGGGGAGGAGGAGGGGGAGGAGGAGGAGGAGGAGGAGGAGGAGGAGGAGGAGGAGGAGAAGGAGGAGGAGGAGGAGGAGCAGGAGGAGGAGGAGGAGGAGGAGGGGCAAGCCAGCGCAGGCCGTGGAGCAACAGGACCAGCCGCCCAAGTGGCCGCAGGCCTGCCCGCCCGCAGGCTGCAGGCACACCAGTGGTACACGGGAGACCGCAGGAAGCAACACTCCAAGCTGATGGGGCCCAAAACGGCCGCGCGAACCAGGAGGAGGAAGAGGAGGAAGATCGAGGAGGAAGATCGAGGAGGAAGAGGAGGAAGAGAACGAGGAGGAGGAGGAAGAGGAGGAGACCAGCAGATCCACGCCGCGCTCCCGAGGAAGCTTCGCGCCGCGCCCCCGAGGAGGCGCCGCGGCATCGTGGGCGGGAGCTGGTGCCACAAGGAGGGCCTGCACCGCACTCCCGAGGATCCGCACCGCGCTCCCGCGGGAAGATCCGCGCCAGGAGCCTAGCTCAAGATCCGCCCAGCAGTCCTGAAGAGAACAGGCCGCAGCCTCACGAGAAAAGTCGGCATGGCCATGCAGATCCTCAACACGCTCCCACACAATCTCCGCAGGCGCGTGAGGGGGACCCGCGCGATCAGGAGGGTCCGCATCGCCTCCGTGAGCACGACCCGCACGATTAGGACGACCCGCATCACCTTCCCGAGGAAGATCCACGCTGCAATCCTGAAGGAGGTCAGGATCCTCCTGCACCGGGTCCCACGCGATCATGGAGACCGTCACCCCGCTCACGGAGAAAAACAAAGCCCCTCCCCTTCAAAAAGGATCTGCACCTGGTGCCTGCGGGAACTCCGCACCCCGCTCCGGAGGACCCGCACGGCCTTGCAGGCCACTGTCACCATCGATCACGGCGGCGGCCCTACGCAGGCGGCCAGACGCGCCGACAAGCGCATTCACCATCCGCTCCATGGCGATGGACACGGCCTGGCCCGCGGTGCTGCGCAGAGTGGCTGCGTGGAGCGCAGACGTCTGTGTGCCTGCATCCCGGGTGCCGTCACAGATGTCGGGGAACTCGGGCCCCAAGTCGCCGCTCTCGGCATTCGGAAGCGATGGCAACGATGGGGCGGCAGTCGTGGCCATAGTGCTGACGAGGCGCTTTGGATCAGGAGGCGTGCCTGGGCAGGTCCCCCGGCTGCTACCTCCACCACCACGCCGTCCACGGGTCTGGACCACCACGCCATGGATCGTCGCGGCCTCGCCGGCGATCCGGCCTGTCATCGTCGCCTCCTGGGCCGGATTCGTCGTCGTCGTCGCACGGGTTGCCCAGGAAGAGAAGCGCGAGGGACGCCGTCGGCAGGTCGAAGACCGAGGGGCCCAGACTTGCCATCGCTCGGACGTCCATTCCCTGTGCTTTTTTTCGGTTTCGTGCGTGGTCCTTTTTCTCCAAATGATCAAGGATGCTCCTCGATGGCCCTCGCCGAAGGAAAAATGCACACGTCCGAGCGATGCCGAGCAGACGTCACCTCAGGCGTCTCGTGCTCACCGACGGGCGGCCCCCGGCCGACGGCGCGGCGCTGCGCCGCTGGCCGCGTCCGCAGGTCCGCGGCGGAGGGCGGCAGCGCCCGGGAGGACAGGGCAGGCGAGGAGTTCGGACTTCGACTGCGCGCAGGAGTGGCCCCGGCTAAGATGAAGTGGGGCCTGTCCCTCCAGGGTGAAGATCCAAGCACAGTTTAAACATAATCAGGGGACGACTTTACTTTTGGAGTATTTGTGGGCATCGTTTGGGTCTTGTTTTGGGCATGTCTTAGTTTTCGTCCAAACTCCGCCTGTAGGGGGACATTCCCGACCTTAGGCTAAGCGTGGCTTTCGGTGCGACCTTTCTGGCGGCCGCGGGGGTGGGGTGGGGGGCAGCGCACGAGCGCGCAAGCCGCTACCACCGCATCGTGTTCGGCGAGCGGGGGGCCCCATTTCGAGGCCTCCTCGATGTGGTTGGAGTAGACGGGGTCGGAGGATCTCGCCGCGTCGCCGACGCATCGGCGATACACTGGCGACGTCGGCGATGCATTGGCGACGTCAGCGTGGAGACTGCTGGGCTCCACACCGAGCCGCATCGGCGATGCGTCGGCGATGCGGCGCGAGCCTCCGACCCTACCTGCTCCGACCCCATCCAGGAGGCCTAGAATCATGTCGGGCCTGTCCCCCTACAGGGGGATTTTCGACGAAACATTTTAAAACATACCCCAGAAATGCCCCAAAAAGGCCAGGAAATACTCAACAAATAATCCCCAGACTATGTTTGGACAATTTCTGGGCAATTTTTAAATTTATCGTAGAAGAAATCCCCCTGTAAGGGGGACCGGCCCGACTTGAGCCTAGAACCAACCGGCCCCTGCCGGCGAGAGGCCGCTCCACATCGCGCAGCCGAGGCCTGCCCCGAGGGGCGCCCTCGCCTCTGCCCGGGCCCGCTGCCGCGCCCCGGGGGGGGGGGGGCGCGGCGGCGCGCGGGCCGCGGCCCCCCCCCCTCCCGCGCCGACCGGGCGGCGCGCCGAAGGCAGGCCGAGCCGCCGCGGCGCCATCTCTCGGGAGCGGCCACGAGGGGGGTGTCCAAGAGGGGGGGGGTGCAGATCAGGACCGGCCGCAGGCGCGCGGCCCCGCGGGCGGGCCAGGGCCCCCATGCAACGAGAAGGGGCGCCAGGAAGCCTCGGGAAATGTCAGGGCCCCCGCCATGAGATCCACCCCCCTCTAATCATCACCCCCCTCTTTGCCGCCCCCGACCATCCCGGGGCGGCGCCGAGGGCCCCGGGGCGGCGCCGAGGGGCGGGCGGGGCGCCACCGCGCGCCCAGGCACGGCGGGGAGCGAGAGCGCGTGCTCGAGCGCGGGCGGCTTGGCAGGGAGGCGGAGGCGGAGGAGAGGAGGGACGCGCGGAGGGGGCGGAGGGGGGGACTGCGCTGGCCAGAGAGAGAGAGAGAGCGAGAGAGAGAGAGAGGAGGGCGGTCGAGAGCGCGAGAGGAGGAGAGACGAGCGCTCGGATCCTGTTGTCGCGCGCACGAGCTCGGCAAGGGGCGGCCTCCTCTGAACAGAAAAAAAAACAGGGGCGGACCTTCAGCGCTCGGCGAAGCCGACCTTCGCCCAAGACTGGACGGATTTCGGTTTGATTTGTGGCAGGTGCGACACGCGGCATCCAGCAACAGAGCGCAGAGTAACAGCTGCTCGATCGGAAAGGGGGGGACAGAAGACTGACGCACGAGCGGGACCGCCAGGGGAAAACAAGGCAGGGGGAAAACGGGAACGAAGGACAGTTTCGGCACACATACACTACATTGAAGCACGTGGGTCAGCGAGTGGAGATCCTACGGACTCTGACATAACCGCGCATTTTGGTGGTGCCCCGAAAACGCTTGGTAATCAATTGCTCAAGCGTCGAACATTGTAGGAATAACGGAAGACACAACACATTGTGGGACCTTGTCCGCAATCAAAACTATCGTGAGACCAAAAACCACACCCCGCTCGCCTGTGGCGGGAAGCCAATGACGGTCGCGAGCCAGCAAGGTGGGAGTGGGAACATCGTCAACTCGCCTCGGGAGGGTGGCTTCCGCTTTCTGCTGAAGCCCCTGCCTGGAATTCAAGCATTCGGGGATGCGTCTGAAAGACAAACAAATATCACACGAGCTTTAAAACCAGAGCTTAACTAAACACGGCAACCCTCCGAAGCCACGACGCAGTCGTCAGAAACGAATCATTAAACGACGAAGTCAAGCGTGTCCTGGACACAGCGAGCGTGTGAAACACACCGAATCAACGATGCCCCAAACTCTGTATGCAAACACCCGGCTTGCACCGGAAATCCAGTGGCGTTCAGACGGTGCAGGAGAGACTTGCTGTGTGCACGGCGGGGAGAAAGCGCGTCCGACCGCGCGACGCCACGGGCTGCCAGGGCCAGCGCAGAGTGACGAACAAGCGGTCAAGACATTGCCTCGCGGAGCGGCCGCCAAGAGCGATCGCAGCGTTCCCACGCGCTGCAAGGCGCGCCTCGAGCCTCGTCGCGATGGAAGCCATGGCCGCGGCTGCTCTCTTCTCACGGGTGCCAATCTCGATGCTCAAAATATGAGTTTCGAGGGCATGGAATTCTGGCCGTGAATGGCGATCTGGGCGTGAGTCCCCGCGATGTCGGGCTTCGTGGCGACATCAGGAAAGGCACGGTCCGTGCGGCGCAGGAAGCCCATGATATCGCTCGGTCCACCTGGTTCAGAGGGCGGCGATGGACATGGAAACAACCGCGAAATGGTGCCGAAACTACCCAACGTCTCCACGTCAATGGCCTCAAACTTCTGGCCGCTCTCCTCCTGGACCTGCTCCCTGGCGCCTCTTTGCATCTGGGTGGGCTCCCCCGCTGCATCCGCGAATTCGAAGCCATCGTCGGCCCCAGCTGCGGGAACCTCACGGTGGACAGGGGTGATTCTCGCCATGCGGACTGATCGCACCTAAACCTGTGGGAGCTGGGAACACCCCAATTTACTCACACGCGCAAGTGCCACGTAAGAACGTGGCTCACGGCTGCAGGGCAGCTCGCCGTGAATATTGTATGGGTCAAACCATTTGGGCTTAGCCCGGGGTCACAAGTACCCACTTCTTTCTCATGGGATCTGCTACCTTTAGCCGAAGTGGTTACGGAGGAGGGGGAGGAAGAGGAGGAAGAGGAGGAGGAGGAGGAGGAGGAGCGGAAGGAGAAGGAGGAGGAAGAGGAGGAGGAGGAGGAGGAGGAGGAGGAGGAGGAGGAGGAGGAGGAGGTTGAGGAGGAGGAGGGGGAGGAAAAGCAGCGCGGAATAATGATGGTGTGAGGAAGGTCGCGGCATGCAGAAACGTCACCTTTCTTGGATGCCCTTGGTGGCCGCCTGGAGACTCCGCCGGCCGTCTTGGGGCCCTCCTGGGTCAGAGCTCGGGGCGCTCTTGGGGCCCTCGTGGGGCCGTCCGGGGGGCTCGTGGCGCAGTCCCGGCGCGCTCTGGCGACCGCCTCGGGGCAACACTAGGGCCCCACTTGGGGCCGTCCTGCCCCCCCCCTCCACCGGGGCCGTCGTGAGCTTCCCTGGGGGCCCTCTTGGGCCCTTAGCTGGAGCTTCTTTCGGCGGTGGACAAACCTCCCTTTCGTAAACCTCCCTTTAGTGAAAACGGCCTGGGACCGAAACCGGCGGACCTGGACCCGCAAAAATGGCGGCCGCGACACCCTCTCGCGAACCGAAAACGGCCGATTCACTAATCGACGTGTCAGGGTAGGAGGTCTATCAAACTCCGATTCTTTGGGCGATCACGGGGCACTTTGGGTCGTCTTGGGCGCTTCGGTGACCACAACACGAGCACGCGACGCGCAGATCATATCGACTGCACATCGGTGGGTTTCGACCCTGTGGACTTCTCAGGAGTCCTCGTCGGGTGCCCTGAGAAGTCTTGAAGCCTCTTGGAAATTGAGCCACCATCTTGGAGCGTTCAAGCTGTCCTTGGGCCCACTTGGGAGCCTCTTGTCGCTTACTCGTGCCCTCTTCGCGCTTCCCGGCGCTTTCCAGGGCTCTCTCGGGGCTGTCTTGAGATGCTGGGGAGGAGTCACTGAGGCTTTGAAGGTTCTGGTCTGTGGTCTCCAGTTCCTTGAAACGCATGAGTTGAACGATATGGCAAACTTAAATCATGCTCGCGACGCATACGAACTGAATGTACGTCTTCCTCGTGTAATTTGCACAACTATACACGACATGCTTGGCAACACGGAGCGCGCAAACATAATGGGCATGGAGTGGGCAAGCGCGCCCGTGGAAGGATCCGTACAACGCGACCATGTCGTTGCCACCCCTCTCCTGCAAGTCACAGAGGTCGGACACGAACACGCAAATTGCCTTCCCGACCACAGCTACCGTCCTGAGCACTCCTGGAAGACTAGTATTCAACGCTCGACTCTACACACCATGGCGTCCTGTCTCCCTTACCCTCATCGCTCCTCCTGCCTCCCTGGAGGGAGCGTATGGGAAGGGTGGGGGGAAATCGAACACACACACACACATTGTACAGAACGGAACTGCGCTCACCAGCCCTCGTGCCGTAGGTGGCTTAACGAGTTAGTCCATTGAACGTTCTTCTACCTCTCGGGGAACACATACTTCCCCCTGCCCACTTCTTCGGGTTGGGCCAGCCCTGCCGCGATCGGTCAGAGGGTCCGTGTGGGCCCTAGATGGCCGCCAAGACCGCATAACGTTCAAGATGGTTTCCCAGATGCAAGAGGACTCAAGCCCGCCTCAAGTGGTCCATCAGCCTCCCAGGGAGGTCCCCGAGAGCCCAACAGCTTTCCAATGCCGGATGATCATCAACAATTGTGCCTTCTCCTGATGCCGATGGGCCCCTGAGGTCACGGGATGTCGCCCACGAACGCCCTAAGAGGGGTCAAGGAGAGCTCTAACACTGCCTCAATAGCGCCCCAAATAGCTCAACGAGGTGTTATACATGGGAATTGGCAATCGGAATGCACCCTTATTTCGTTGGCACAAGGCCCACGTAATCTGCCAAGAGGCTCCCATATCGAAAGGTCCGCGATGGCTTTCATGGTTGATCAAACTGATCCTGATCTTCGGTTGGTGGCTGCCCCTCTTTGTTCTACTGCATGCTTCCAACCTTCCCTGATCAATGCACATCACCTGGGCATCGTTGCCGTAAATGCTGCTGGTGGGGGTACGTCTGCAACAACGTCAACATTGCGATGCCGACGTGTAGCCGCACATGACACAATCACCCGTGCCACGTTGGCGTGAGGGAGAAGTCAAAGACGGCACGAACGATGAAATCGTACCCGACGACAAACTCATCAGATGCATCGTCTGTGCGACGCTCTCCGTAATGGCACTGCACATTCTACGTCTAACATACTATGTCTGCACATGTAACTCAAGCCACTGAGAGCAACGCCGAGTACGAGTGCTGCAAGTTTGAAGCTCTCATGAGGCTCTTGCCGTTGGCTTGGGTATTTGCCCACACTGGAGCGCCACACCGCTCAAACCATCGAAGATCTGCGTGTTTACTGAGGCTCTCCCCTTGGGCAACAAAAAGAAAAACGGTGGCCAAGAAGCAAATCATCGTCCGGAGCAGCGTGTCCACGACGTGGTCGCGCGGCGCCCAGCGGAGGTCGAGCAGGCCTGCGATTTTGACCGAAAAGGGCATCCGCCTGCGAAGTGTGCTAGGCTCACAAGATGAGAAAACTTACGATTGCATATTTTCATGTCGTGTCAACGGTCGGAGGTTGGGGGGCGAGATCGCAGTAGCACGGAGAGCCCCCGACCGCGAAATCGGTCTCGGTTTTGTGTTCGTGACGTGCGTGTGGGCGAGGCGCAGCTGCGTGGGCGCGCGAGAGGAATGATCCTGCCGTCGCTAGGGCGATTCGGATGCAAGAATCTGGCCCTCTGGTGGGCGCGCGGTGGCTGGGGGTGTCCCGCCGTGGTGTCTAGCAGTGTCCCGATGGTGTCCCGCGGTGTCTCGCCGTGGGCGCGCAAGAGAAATGATCCCGCCGTCGCTAGGGCGATTTGGATGCAAAAGTCCGGCCCTCTGGTGGGCGCGATATGGCTGGGAATGTCCCGCCGTGGTGTCCCGCATTGTCCCGATGGCTTCCCGCGGTGTCCCGCCGTGGTGTGCCGATGGTGTCTCGTGGTATCCCGTGGTGTCTCCATGGTGTCCCGCTGTGTTCAATGGTGTCCCGCGGAGTCCCGCCGTGGTGTCCCGACAGTGTCCCTGTCGATCGTGGGATCGATAGTGAGACCGACAACGACCGAGATGTGGTGAGATCGTAGTGAAATCGATACTTGGATCGATAGTGAGGTCGATCGTGAGATCGGTATCTGCATCGATCGTGCGAACGGCAATGAGATCGATAGTGGGACCGATAGTTACATCCGTAGTGCAATCGATAGTGAGGTCGATAGTGCGACCGATTGCGAGCTCGAGTGAGATCGATAGTGGGATCGATTGTGAGCTCGATTGCGAGATCGCTTCATGGATCGATTGTGAAGTCGATTTTTGGATCGGTCGGGTGCGATCGAGAGTATTATCGATCGCACGATCGATAGTGAGATCGATTGTGAGATCGACTGTGGGATCGATAGCGACCATCCATGGCAGTTGCCAGTAATTGGTTCTTTCCCTTCCCTCAACCTCCTTATCACCTCAACCTCCTTATCACCTGAAAGGTGGTCGTTTAGGTAAAACCTGATTTTGCATACTTTGCGCATGCCCCTTTGGCCGAACTCGTGTTGGATGAATGCGCGCACGATTTTTGATTTTCAACACTGGTGCAACTTGGGGCGCCGTATCAACATCTGGTGGCCGTAGAATGAGACGCGCTTCGGGTCGAAGGGGGTGAATATGGTTCCGTGACTGAGATAGGCAGCCATGGCCGACAGGCTGCTCCGCGCGACGATCAGCGCGTCGGCCTGCACCATGTGGTGGAATGTCGCCTCCAGAGGCTGGCGCACATGAAGCCGGGCATCCGGCATCTCCTCAGTAATGGCGCTCAGCTGCTCGACGCCCGCGTCCGAGAAGATGTGCACCTCCCACCTCCGCGGGCGCAGGTAGCGCACGAGGTAGCCCTGGGACTGCATCGCCGCCAGGGCGGACTTCACGCACTGGACTATCAGGGCATCGGGCACGCGCCGCCCGTCCTCGACGTCCCCTCTCCGTACGTGCACGCCCAGGGTCGATGCCTCTGGGTCGCCGAACCACTCGAGGGCTGGCTTCGGCGCTGACAGATACTTGTGCCGGACGTCCTCGGCAAATGTTTCGTACACGCCTGCTGCAATGTAATCCCATTCCTCCTTGTGCTTGTCGTGCACGTCGAACCAGAACTCACTCTCCCGAGGTCGGCCATCGGGCGTCTCAACGCAGGCGGCGAGTCTGCACACGTGGCGGTAGAAGTGGAGGTATCCGCTACGGTGCCCTGAGCACACTTGGGCGCGTTGGACTGCCAGTTGTAGCTGTCTGGCAAGGCTTCTTGGTGGTTCTAGGGGCGTCACCCTGCCCCTTGGGTGCGCCCCCCCTGCAAGCCGCCCCTAGTTTTGGTCCCCAGCGCTCGTTTCGCCTTGTGGACATACCAGCCCAAGACAGCCCAACGTCCCGCCGAAGGAAGACTCCAACCTGTCCCCAAGACGCCCCTAAAGACGCCGATAGAGGCATGCAACGAGGCCCTAAGATGGCTCGCGATCAAAGACGTCTGCATACTTTTACATATGTTTGGTTTCGGTCGCTCTGCGGCTTACGATCCCTTTCAAGCGAGCTCCAGGCCGTTCCATGAAGCTCGACGGAACCAAGAGTGGACCAAGAGGGCCTCAATACGCCGCAACACGCGCCCAAACGGCTCGAAGGTGGTTCAAGCGAGCCTCTTCTGGAGAGCTCGGTAGAACCAGCGCGCCCAAGACGTCCCTCGAGACCCCCAACTAGCCCGCCTGGTCCCCCAAGAGGGCCCCCACAAAACGCAACGTAACATTTTCTGCTGCATCATCCAGGCCACGACTACGACGACGACTGCGACGACCACTGCTTAGCACAGTAATGCGTGCTGCCCCGCAGCGCGCAAGGGAGGAGCGCCTGACCAAAAGCGCAACGTAGCAACCATGCAACGCTACGGCTAAGCTTTCTGTCGCGATTCTTCGGGGATGGACAGACCTCCCTTTAGTAAAACGTGGTTTAGTGAAAACGACCTAAGGCCCAAACCTGGCGGGCGCAGGCCTGGAAAATAACGGCCACGGCGCCCTCTCGAGAATCGAAAACGGACAATTCACTAATCGACGTGTCACTGTTGGGGGTTCTGTCCACCCCCGAATTCTTCTCACGCCTCGAGCATGTCTGGGCCGGTCGGATCTCGATGCTGCAAGCCACTGGATATGTCCATGGGCTCGTGGCCGGCGGGAGCGCGCGGGCCGAACGCGTCGCCGGCCGCAAACCGGTAGAGCCTGGCGGGGTCCTGCTCGTGGGCCACCCTCCTCCAGGGGGTGACGCAGAACGTCCGATTCCGGAGGGAGGTGAGACGGCACGAGCATAAAGACTCGGAGCTCCGCGCGGATCTCTTGCATTGGCGCCGCACCCCCCTGGCACTCGGGCGGGCATGTCCTCCTACAGGCGGATTCCAGACGAAGCATGGACAGCAGCCCAACAAGATGCAAGACTGGCCAAACGTACGAGCAAAAAGTCGTCCCCACACTATTTTCTTGGACTATTCTCGAACATTCCTCCCGCGGAGGGGCAGGCCCGACTTGACCCTGGCAGCGCCTCCGCCGCCGTCCCCGGCGGGTTCTGCGCGCCAGGGCGGGCGGCCCAGCGCCGATCCAAGACACCCGCGCGGCTCTCCGCACGCGCATGCTCCGTGCAGTGTCTGCTCCCTCGAGCAGCCTCCCAGATGGGGTCGGAGTGGAGGTGGTCCAAGGATCGCGCCGCATCGCCAATGCATCGCCGATGTACAGACGAGGCATCGGCGACGTCGGCGATGCATCGGCGACGTCGGCGATGCACCGGCGACGTCGGCGCGGGGAAGCACGGCCTCCACATCGAGCCGCAGCGTCGATGCGTCGGCGATGCGGCGCGGTCCTCCGACCCCACTGGGAGGCCTGGAGAGATTCATGACTCTGGCCGTCAGGTAGGCGGTGACGAACAGGTAGTACTGGTGGCCGAAGCCCTGGGCGTTGCCGGCGTGCGCCTCGCTGGGCGGCTGGCAGGCCGCCGGCGGCTGCTGCCCCGCGGGGCCTGCCGGCGTCGACTGCTGGCCGTGGGCGCCGCCGGGGACGGGGCCGCCGGTCTCGGGGAAGCTGTGCCAGAGCGCGACCGCCAGGACCAAGGTGGCACCTTACGAGCGGCGAACGCATCCATATCCTCCTCCTCCTCCTCCTCCTCCTCCTCCTGCTCCTCCCTTTCCCTCGTCCCTCCTCCCTTCCCCCCTCCTCCTCCTCCTCCTCCCTCCTCCTCCTCCTCCTCCTCCTCCTCCTCCTCCTCCTCCTCCTCCTCCTCCTCCTCCTCCCTCCTCCTCCTCCTCCTCCTCCTCTCCTCCTCCTCCTCCTCTCCTCCTCCTCCTCCTCTCCTCCTCCTCCTCCTCCTCCTCCTCCTCCTCCTCCTCCTCCTCCTCCTCCTCCTCCTCCTCCCTCCTCCTCCCTCCTCTCCTCCTCCTCCTCCTCCTCCTCCTCCTCCTCCTCCTCCTCCTCCTCCTCCTCCTCCTCCTCCTCCCGCGCCATCGCGGGCTGGACTCCGGGGCGCGAACCTGCGGACTCGCGGTCGCACGGATGGTACGTTCCGCGTGGGGCATCCGGGAAACAGCGCCCCGTATCCGCGGGGTCGCGGCCTAGGGGCCCGGCCCGCGAGGCGGCCGCGGATACGGATACCCATCGGTCGGAAGAAGCAGGTGGAAGCATGAAGTAGGAAGGCGTTGAAAGTAGATTGGGTGTCCGCCCCCCCCCCGAATGACGGAGAAGGTGAAGCCAGCCGAGCATTAGAGCAGGAAGGCGCTTGAAGTAGATTGGAATCTGGGACTCCAAAAATTGAAGGGGCCCTGGGACACACAAATAAATGCACACAAACAAACACATTCCTTATATTTTCCGATATTTTCGGGGTTTTTGTCTTCCCCCCCAATCCCCATATTCTCCCATATTTTCTCGGGAATCGACGATTAATTGTGTCTGTGTGCTTTTTCCCCTCCTGAAGAATACCTGCTCTCAATGACCGATGGCTACAGTCATCGTGCTGCCGTGGGGAGCACCGATGCAGGAGCGGATGGGGCTCCTCTGGTCAGGGCAGGCCTCGGCCACGAAAGCTCGGCCTCCCGACCACAGGTCGAGGGAGTGGCCCCTCCGGCGGTGGACAAACCTCCCTTCAGTAAACCTCCCTTTAGTGAAGATGGCCGAGCACCGAAACCGACGGACCTGGGCCCGCAAAAATGACGGCCGCGACGCCCTCTCGCGAACCGAAAAAGGTCAATTCCTTCATCGACGTGTCAGGGTAGGAGGTCCGTGCACCCCGACCCCCCCTAGTGCCCAAGTGGTCCTTCTTCCAGCGTCCTGACTGTATGCGTTTCGCCGACGCTGCCAGACGCTGACCCACGCGCGCACAAGGCTCCCAGGACTTGCTACCGAATCGTGTGGTCCTTCTTCCACTGTCTGGACTGGATCTCCTTTTGCGAGCGGGCACCGGCAGCGGCCCACATCGCGCAGCGGCCCAGCGCCCACAGCCGTGCCCGCCACACGTTCGCCCGCCGCGGCCGCCGCGCCATGCCATGGCTGCCGCGGCAGCGGTCATCGGGGTGGGGACGGTGGGCGGGCGGCAGGCTCTGGCAGCCCCCTTCGAGGCCGAAGCGTTTACCGTCGGGCGGCTGAAGCACGGAACGACACAGAAGGAACGAAGCCTCTTTTTGGCACCAGGTGCGGTTCGCGAGGAGGGCTTGAGAAACGAGCGCGGAATTGCCCAAGGGGCAGCGAGCGAGCCCCTTCCAAACCCAAAGCGGTCCTCACCTCAGCGTCTTGGCTGTAACGCAGCCGCTCTTGGCCCAATGTGGCGGGACTCCCCTTGAAAGAAAGGCTGTGCCGTACGCAGACATAACTTAGCCCGCGTGCCTGCTGAATAGTTACTCTATTCCACTCCCCTTGGTGCTCCTCGCCCATTCTCCTCTGCTGACAACATCCGCCGTCCGACTCATCTGAAACGTCTGACCCTACGTGATTACCTAGAGGCCTCCTAGATGGGGTCCGAGTAGATGGGATCGAAGGGTTGCACCGAATCGTCGATGTATCGCCGAAGCATCGGCGATGTATCGGCGATGTATCGACCACGTCGGCGTGGAGAAAAGCGGGCTCCACATCGAGCCGCATCATCGATTTATCGGCGCTGCGGCACGATCCTTCGACCCCATCTACTCGGACCCCGTCTGGGAGGCCTAGAGTACCACAGCGCGATCTCGTGCAGATCCTCGATTTCGGGAATGCACCGTATCATGTCACTGACCCTTCATCCTCCAACTTCCACTCCCTCCTCCGCCTTCCGTTCGTCCTCCTCCAACCCCTGTTGCTCCTCGCCCGTGGCTGACTGCACTCGCCTCAGCCAAGACTCGTGAGACTCCTCCGCGTCCTGGTTTTCCTCCTCCTCCTCCCGGTTCCGCTTTCCGCTTCCCATCCTGACATCCTCCTCTTCCCCCTCTTCCTCCTCCTCCTCCTCCTCCTCCTCCTCCGCTTCCGCCAACTGCGGGGATGGCGTCCCCACCGGCTCGCGAAGGTCCAGCCAGCCCACCACACCTAATGCGGCCTTCCAGCCCAAACAGAAGAAGTACGGACAGGACATCGACAGCACAACGTGTCCTCCAGGATCTTCAAGGGTTCCTCGTCCTCCTCCTCCTCCTTCCCCTCCTCCCTCCCCAAGGTAAGAAAAAGGTGCCGATGTCGCTATTCCATTCGGAGCAAGGCGAGTTGAGATGACGGCAACTCAAAATCGGTCCCTGGACCCCTCCCGGAGTCCAAACGCGCCTGTTTTCCGAGCTGCATCCAGCTGTGGCGCCGAAGTACCCCCCCCGAAGGCCAACTGCCGTTTTCTCAACTCGCCCTCCCCTGATCCCTGAACCTCTCTTGGGGTGCGTCCTGACCGAGCTACGAGGAGAATCCGGCCGTGGTGACGAGGGCTCGCCAGGACGAACAGCGGCATGGGCACCTCCTCCTCCCCCTCCTCCTCCTTCCCTCCTCCTCCTCCTCCTCCTCCTCCTCCTCCTCCTCCTCCTCCTCCCCCTCCTCCCACCGCCACCCCGGAGCGAGGCTGGCCCGAATTCTTGATGTAGTCCACGACGCAACTCTGCATCACGGAGGCGATGGAGAGCGCCTGCCAACGACGCCGTCGCCGTCCTCGCCGCCGCCGTCTTCGTCGTCGTCGTCGTCGTCGTCGTCCCTGGGGAGCACCTCGTCTGGGCCGGCAACGCCCTGCCGGCCCCGAGGAGCGCCTCAAGGTGGCGATGCCTTTCCGACGCGAGGCTGCCGAGGCCGTCCACGGCGACGCCAAGAGCGAACAAACCGACTGATACGACAGCGAGGCCGACGCCGGCCGAGGCCGCACCTCGAGCGAGCGCAGCCGACCTGCCGACGCAGCGGCGCCGCAGCGGCGCAGCAAGCGACCGCAACAGACCTGCCAAACGCAACCGCCTGCGAGGAGGAGGAGGAGGATTATGAGGACGGGGAGGAGGAGGAGGAGGAGGAGGAGGAGGAGGAGGAGGAGGAGGAGGAGGAAGAAGAGGAGGAGGAGGTGGAGGAGGATTCGGAGGAGGAGGAGGAGGGGGAGGAGGATGATGATTGATGAGGGGGAAGAGGTGGAGGAGGAGAAGGAGGAGGAGGCCCCTTTTGGCGATGAATGGGGGACTGGGAGTCGGCGCGTTCCCCCCTGAGCCTATCCCCCCAGCGGTGTCCCTGATCCTCCTCCTCCCCCTCCTCCTGTTCCCCCCTCCTCTCTGCTGTATCTCCCTACCCCTGGGGCCCAGGGGAGTATCGACCACGAGGGGGCGCTTGTGAGACTCGCCAGGCGCATCTGGACTCCACGCTGAGCCCCTCCCTCCTCGCTGAGCGAAGATAGCCTCCCTACGTACGCACGACGCCGAGCATGTCAGACTTCTCATCTTGACGGGGTCAAGTGCGGGGCAACGATCGGGGTGACTGGCTCAGGGGGGCGGGGGAACATCGAACTTGGATCGGCGATATACAGCCGATAAATCGGCGTCAAGCCCTCGATAGCGCATCTGCAAGCTCCTGGGCGGGGCGGGCTATCGGGCCACTATCAGCTACGAATGGACGATTCGGGGCCAATGCGTCCTCCCTGAGCCTATATCCCCCAGTATTGCCTCTGATCAAGGCGAGTCTGTCGAGAGAAGGCGTCCACGATGCAACTATGCCATTCCGCAAAACACTGTACGACATGAGACGTGCAAACATAAACCAGGCCCGGGTCAGAGAACACGAGGAACCAAGGACGTGATTCTCTTTGAATGCCCTCCAAACCACGTCGGACCGATCCTGGAAATTGATCAACCGATACAGTGCGCCGCGGCCGCAAGAAACAATCGTGAACAATCCCACCCTGAGCCCTTGCAGGCGGGGTGCTATTGGGGAAAGCTCGACGCACCCTGAACGAAGGAACTGGTCTAATGCTCGCGGGGAGTCACCACATAATACGGGCGGCTCAGGTAGGGACCCAAGGCACCCTGACGAAGCGTACGGTCTCTTGATGAACGTCCCCACTGCATGCGCACACGATGAAGGGATGACATGCGAACTTCGTGGCCATCACAACATGTGCCGTCGAATGCGTTCTGCCTCTCGGGTGGGGCATCGGACGCGCCATCAATGACCTCCGCAATCTCTACCGTGCGGCTGACAGTGTCTGCATACCTGCATACATCTGCTCAAAAACAAAATGGATCGCCAGGCAGTGCGTCTGGAACCGGTCCAACCAGATGTCGGTCTCGTTCGCAGGCCGCCTCATCACTTTGCAAGTAAGGCAACTCCCTGAACTGCCGAGAAGCACCGGGGGCTACTCAAACGACACGTCGGGCAACACTATGGTGAGACAAATCAATCGTTTGCGTGCCGTGTGAGCACAAGGGGGGCGAGAATAGGGGATGGACAGGACTGGGGGGGATCGAAGGAGAGAAACAGGACGGAGAGGATGATCATGAGTAAGAGCAGGAGGTAGGCTGAGGAAAAAGACGACCATGATGAGCAGCAAGAGCGATATGACGAGTAGGATGGGGAGGGACAGCGCCAGGAAGGCCTTTGCCTTTCCTATCCTGGGTGCCTCGTTCCACAAACCTAGTGGCGCGCTGGCGCCTTGGACTGGGGGAGGTGTACGGGGGAGGAGGAGGAGAAGACAAAGACACAAGGCGCGAGCTGAACAGTGTTTTCCGTTTTCGTTTGTGCTCGCTTTCCCTCGTTATGGTTTTGTTCTGCCTTTGCTGCAAAACGAACTCAGAACATAACTGTCCACGAAATCGTTAAAACACAGTTTAGCACGCCCCCTGGAAATTCGAACCGAAATGGTCATGCACTTTTTTGTGCATTTCGAGCCACCGCGTCTTGAAGTGGGATCCCGGGGCTCGAGGAGGGCCTCGCCTCCATCGCCGTCGCCGTCGCTGCCACCGGCGCTGGCGCCGGCGCTGGCGCCGGCGCTGGCGCCACCGTCGTCGTCGTCGTCGTCGCCGGCGCCGCCGTCGTCGTGGTCGTCGTCGTCGTCGTCGTCGTCGTCGTCGTCGTCGGCGATCCCGGAACGGGACCCCGAGACGCCTCAAGACAGACCCAGCGCGAGCCAGAAAGCCCCCCAAGACGACCCACGATGCCCCCCCCCCAAATCCTCAGGAGGCCCCAGAACGGTACTCGAAGAGCATGCCTCCAAGACCCCTAACATGCCCCGAAGAGCATGCCAAAACGCTCCCAAGGAGTTCCACAACACCCCTAGGAGCCCTCAACACGATCCCAAGAGGCCCTCCCGAAGCCTCCAAGGTGTCACCTGGACAAAACTGCAGCAGACCCCAACTGACTTCCGAGAAGCCACGTCCTCCTCGTCCTCCTTCTCCTCATGCTCATCGCCGTCTTCCTTCTTCGCTTTCTCCTTATACTTTAGTAGCGGAAGCAATTGGTTTTCAAAATGTTTGGTCTTTAGAAGCTCTGCGTGGCGACGCCCCCGTCGCCACGCGTGCCCCTGCGTGCCTGCGGGGGCGCCGCCACGCAGAAGTACTGGAGACCGAGCATTGGGGCGTCGCTACGCACGCCCTCTGCGTGGCTGCGACCATTTGTTAAAACCCTACAGCCAATCAAACTCACTAGTAAAGTACTCCTCCTCCTCCTCCTCCTCCTCCTCCTCGCTCCTCCTCCTCGCTCGCCAAGAACACCACGGCCCTCGCCGCGCCGAATTGCAGCTGGAGCCTCCCGCGAGCGCCCCGATGACGTCCCTCCTCTTCTGAAGGGTCAGTGTGGAATGGCGATGCAGTCGGGGCGTTGACCTAAGCTAGGGCTCCCAACTTCGCGCTTCGCGCTGCGCGAAGCGCGAAGCGCGAATAACTTCGCGCCCTCGCGCCGCCCCCCCAAAGGGAGAAAAGGAGGACGAGGAGGAGGGGGAGAAGGAACGAGGACCGCGAAGCGCGAAGCGCGAATAACTTCGCGCCCTCGGGGGAGCCCTTGCTGAAGGGTCAGTGGAATGGCGATACAGTCGGGGCGTTGACCTAAGGAACCCGAAATAAGGAACGAGGCCCCTTTTTTCCATAGGTTAACCTTCGATTTCCGATCGAAGGCATGAGGAACACCTGAGGCAAGCTGTGGAACACTTAAGGAACGCGGAGCCCCTCCCAAACCAAAAGAGTTCCTTCTTCAGGGCCCCGACTGTAGTCTCTGAGAGCAGAACTTGTGGAACACTTAGCGGTTGCCAGTTTGCGAAGACCACTCGCCCTCCACTCGTGCAACTGCTACACACGGTACATTTTAGGCTCAGAACTTTGCTAGGGCACCTCCAACGAAACACCCGAGCCGCCTAACTACCCGTCCGATTGTCCACGATGAGTTATGGTAAGAAAAAAGGAGTTCAAAGGGCAGCAACGTTTTTTTTGGGGGGCTATCTTGGGGGAGGTCGAGCTGGAACCGGCGACGCCTCGCCGTTAGATCGGCGGCAGGCCCAGATCGCAAATCGCACGCTCCTGGACTGGGTGGACTGTCGGGCCCCTGTCGGCGATCACCTGTCGATCGGGCGTCGATGCGTCCCTCCGTGAGCTCGTCTCCCCCCGGCGTTGCCACTGCGGAGAGCATGAGGCTCACGAAGAACATCAGCAGCCGGAGACCACAGGAGACGGGCAAGCGGGGGGAGGAGGAGGAGGAGGAGGAGGAGGAGGAGGAGGAGGAGGAGGAGGAGGGAGGAGGAGGAGGAGGAGGAGGGGGGGAGGAGGAGGAGGGAGGAGGAGGAGGAGGAGGAGGAGGAGGAGGAGGAGGAGGAGGAGGAGGGGGAGGAGGGGGAGGAGGAGGAGGAGGAGGGGGAGGGGGAGGAGGGGGAGGGGGAGGGGGAGGAGGAGGGGGAGGAGGGGCCGCGCGCGGAGGGGCGAGGCGGACGGGGCAGGGCGCAGCCGCGCGCCACGAGGTGGTGATGTTCATGATCTGCACGATGCAGAGCAGGAGCCTGCGCGGGCTCGGCGCGGAGCACACTGAAATAGGGGGCAAACAAACCTACTCGCTTTTGACCACCCTCGCTTCCAGGAGATACCAAGCGATGCCAAACTGCGGCCTGTTCTGGTCAGGCCGCCTGACGGGGAGGCGCGTGGTACGACTTGATTTTTGCCTGGGAGCGAAAGCGGGGTAGGTAATTCACGCTCTGACTTAACCCCACGCGGCCCGCGGAGTCGCCCTCGTGGCCCACTCCGCTCCGATCGGCCAGCGGTCCGTGATGAAAGCACGGCGCAGAGCACATGTCAGTGATCTGCAAAAGGATTGGGCCTCCTTCCCCCCACGATGGCGCGCTGCCTGCCCGTCCTGCTGCCGCCGGGGCTTCGTCCATGGCCTTCGCGCCGAGTTCCCCCCCGCCGTGGTCGATGTGGTCCGCTCGGGGATGGCAGGGTGGTGCAGCCCTGCTTCGGGCAATTTGTTCGTTGCGACAGTGTCCAGAGCTGCTGCGGCGGCGCCACTGGATCCATCCAAAGGCGATGCCGATGCGTTTTGGAATGTACTGCGGGGGGATGGATGCGGTATTGGATGTCGGCCCATGGAGTCGGGGGCACTTGCGAATAAGAACATCTTCAGACCGGATTTGTTTGGACCCCGCTACTGGACAACACGTTGCCCATGGCCCCTCGTGTCCCCTCGAATGCGGGGTGGCCTTCCGCCAACAACATGTCTAATGTCCGCGGCCCGTGTCTCCTCGTTGCCGTTCCTATGCGGGGTGTCCTTCGAAAAAAAGATTCGGTGGTCGGAGATCCGTCGCCACGTGTGGCCCCTTGCATATGGGAGGGCCTTCGGACATGGAACCGATCTCGATTGCCTGCAGCCCGGCGAGGAGAAGGAGGAGGAGGAGGCCCTTCATGGGACCTGATGACCTCCCGTTTGTGCCTTCCAGACACACGACATCCACGAGGCCCTCGGACTGTAACCAGGTAATGACTGTGCTCTTCTCACCTTTTTTGCTTCCGACGGGGCTAGGGGCCTCGAGCTGGCCAGGTGTCGGCCCGAGAGAGTGACCCGGACAAGCCTCCACGGAAGTCCCAAGCTACGTTTTTTTTAAACAATTCTTTTTTGGGGGGCGAACTCAAGTTGTGGAGGCCTCCACAGTGGGGATCCGAGTTGATGGGGTCAGAGGATCGCGCCGCCTCGCCGATGCATCGGCGCCGTCAGCGCGCATACAATCGGGCCCAACATCAGGCCGCATCGCCGATGCATCAGCGATGCGGCGCAACCCTCGGACCCCATCTACTCGGACCTCACTTGGGAGGCCTAGGAACAAAGAGGAGCTGAGCCGAGGACCGTCGATGGGCTCCAAGAGGGCCCCTGTAGATCCTCAATCTTGCACTCGTTTACCTTTGTGAGCGGTTGCTGGGGCCGATTGTAGCTTGCCCATCGTCTTCTACAAATGATCACCTGTTTCCCTCTCACGTATCACGGCGACGCCTCTCCGAATCATCGTTCCTGGATCTGCTTCGACCGCTCCTTGCTCCCAGTCAGACCTGGGACTGCATCGAATAGCGAAGTCGCATCGGATCGGTATGATACGGATCGGATCGCCAACGAATCGTCCCGAATCGAATCGAAATCGGATCGCCGAGCCCAGCTCTGGAAGGCCCCGGCCAATGTGCCGGTGAATCGAGCCGACTCGAACCGGAATCGCGGCCCCATCCAGCGGATCGACCCGCATCGGATGGCAGCCGGCCCTGCCAGTGGCAACACCACATACTTCGCGACAAACTCTGACCATGGATCAACTTCGCGGACTCTCTCGCAGACTCGGAAGATCGGCGCGCGCCTCGTGGCGGAATTCATCCGCGTCCCCGCGTTGCTCATCCACATGGTCGCGATGCTCAGCACGGCCCGGCGGCCGAACGAGAGGAGCCCGGGGGGCTGAGGGGACACCAAGACCAAGACAGCACCGGATCTGGATCGGGTCGGGCGAAAGGGGGGGATAGCAAAGGGGGGGTTTGAGAATCAGCTCGCGTAGCTGATTTTCCGGCGCCTCCCGGCGCCGGAGGCGGCTATGTATCGAGGAATGGGCCCCTCGGTGAGGCCGAAACCAGCTGCATGCAGCAAATTTCGTAACCCCCCCTTTCCCAATCCCCCCCTTTCGCCCGACCCGATAAGGGAACACCAAGACCAAGACAGCACCGGATCTGGATACATCGGGGGTCTCTGAACCCCAGCCGTTCTGGATGCTCCGCCGGGCGCCGCGGCCGATCCAGAATGCGGCGCAACGCCCAAAAGGGGGGCGGGGGGGCGCGGGCCCATCTTCCCATCGGGGCCCCTCCTCTCGTTGGGCCGCCGGATGGTCACGCCGAACATGGGCAGCATGTAGTTGACCTGGGGCGCGAGGGCGCGTGCGTGCGGCGCGACGCCCCCCCACCCCGGAGGAGGAGGAGGAGGAGGAGGAGGAGGAGGAGGAGGAGGAGCAGGAGGGGGAGGAGGAGGAGGAGGAGGAGGAGGAGGAGGAGGAGGAGGAGCAGGAGGAGCAGGAGGGGGAGGAGGAGGAGGAGGAGGAGGAGGAGGAGGAGGAGGAGGAGGAGGAGGAGGAGGAGGAGGAGGAGGAGGGCGGGGCGCGGTGGCCCATCCTTGCCAGAGGGCCCACCTCGCAGCCCCGCTCCAGGTCCGCCCCTATGCACGACGCAAGACGAAGCGTGCACAAGCATGCAGCAGCAAACCGTGCCCTGCCTCCTTGCCGTCGAGATCGACGCTGCGCCGCACCTCGCGGCTAATGTGTGGCGCAACCGCTCCGACCAGCGGCGACGGATACCATGGCAGCGAGGGGGCCCGCGAACTTCGCTCACGGAGAAGATCCTTCTACTGAGAAGGGGTCCGTTTGTACTCCGTTACAACAAGACCACCTTTTCGATTCAACCGCAGAACATATGTTTTCGATTGTGCCACACATGGAATCTTGCTGTATTCGTTCCAAAATGAAAAGAAATCCCAGGTATCTCACCACGCAGCGAATTCATTCATATTCATATTCCGCCTCTGCGGGGGGGCTGCGAAGTGCGAAACTGTCGCTACTGTCAAGGACTGCTTGGGGGTCCAGCTGGACGGTGCTGCGCCGACCGCACAACCAAGTCAGACCTCGCCATCCTTGGGGGGGGGGGCTGCGAACTGCGAACCCGTCGCCACTGTCACACGGTTTTGGGAGGTCCAGCGGAAAGACGCCACGCCGCAGACCCAGATCAACCATTGCCATCCCTGCGGGGTTGCGAACTCCGAAAAGCCGTCGTCGGGTTCTCGAGGGCCGCTGGAAGGGGGTCCAGCGGGCGGACGCCCCGCCGCAGGCTCGAGGAGAGGCCTCGCCAGCCCGGGGGGAGGGGGGGGAGCTGCGAACTGCGAAGCCGTCTTGCCGCTCTCGAGGGCTGCTGGGCGTGGCGGCCTGCGCTGAACCACTCGGCGGCGAGCGAAGGGGGGAAATGAGAAGGAGAAGGCCTTCTAAGAAGGCGGCGGGACTTCTCAGAAAGCCCTCGCGCCTTCTCAGAAGTTTTTTCTGTCTTCGGGGAACGCTTACAAAACTTCTCAGAAGGCCGGGGGACTTCCGAGCCTTCTGAGAAGGCCCGCCCCTTCTCACTTCCCCCCCGGGCGCGCCGCCGAACCACCGTGGACCTCCCCATTCCTGGGGGAGCTGCCTGCTGGCGAAGCAGGCGCTGCTTTTGGGGGGCTGCGCTGGGGGGGTCCAGCATATGCTAGGGCTCCCAACTTCGCGCTTCGCGCTCCGCGAAGCGCGAATAACTTCGCGCTCTCGCGCCGCCCCCCCAAAGGGAGAAAAGGAGGACGAGGAGGAGGGGGAGGAGGAACGGGGACCGCGAAGCGCGAAGAACTTCGCGCCCTCGGGGGAGCCCTTGCATATGGACGCCCTGCGCGGACGCAGGCTGGCACTGCAAGGTGAAGGAAGGAAGCGGGGAGCCTGACGGGCGACCTCGGCCTCGCTCGCTTCTGCATCCTGCGTTCGCTTTTTGAACACCTGATCCGTTCGAGCGCCAAAGCGACGTGGCGCAGGCCGCGGTGCTTGTCCAGCGTGCCACTGGAAAATCATCGCCACCCCTCTTCACCATCCTGCCTCCTTGTTGTCGCCTCTTCCTCCACTGCTGCTGTCGCGTGAACGGTTCGTCCCCTCTTCCGTCCTTCACCTGCACCCCGTTCCCACCTCCCCTTCCTCTTCGAGCCTCGTCCTTCTGTTGCCATCCTGTGAGTCGTGCAACGCGCGCGCTTCCCATGTAGCGTGCACCACCACTGATAGATCCTGTTGCCGCCACCCATACTTACTATTCTGGACCAGCTCTTCGTGCCACTTAATGTAATGCAGATGGGTTGGGTACGTCGCAGGGTAGTTTTCGCAAGAGATGGCGGGGGGGATATACCAGCTTGACGGTGCCACTGTTTGATACATCGGGTGAGTGATCGTGCAGAATCCAAGTGAAGTGCAAACCACATGCGGATAGGCACCGATCAATCAGGCCTCGTGGTGGGGGTCGTCCTTGGTAGGACAAGTGATCTATGTCGCGCGAGCTGTGTTAATCAACGCGAAGACATCTATGTGATGCAAGCTATGTCTTTTCCTCTCCGAACCAACCTCGACTGTATCCAGCAGCGCCTGCCATCGCACGGCGTGCGTCCCGAGGCTAGAACGCCGCCGTGAACCGACGAAATTCTGTAAGTTTCCCTCCCCGAACCGACCTCGATCGTATACCTCGGTCATACCCTCGTGACTTGTTTGCAAATGTCCACCTCCAGAGGTCTCGTCCCCTTCCCCAGGACCAATCTTTCGTCCTGAATCGTTTCGACGGTCCCGGGGCCCAGCGAGGGCCCCCGGGGGGCGAAGATAGCGTTAGGTCGGGCATGCCCCCCTACAGAGGGATTTTGCGCAGAAAATTAGAAAAACTGAAACATATTCAGAACATGCGCCACAATACAAAAATAACTAGTCCCCAGACTATTTCTTGACTGCTTCTGAGACTTCCTCCCGCAGAGGGACGTGCCCAAACCTCAGGACCGCGAAGCACCTCCCGCCGTGGCTCCGTCACGACCCGAGGGCGTCTCGGATCTCCCTGCCTCGGTGCGACGGTGCGGCTGTGGCCAGCAGCGCCCGCCAACGCACGGGTCGGGCGTTGGCAGAACTGGGTTTAGCGGAACCTGGTTTAGTGATTTGTACCGGGGGCGGTCCCATTTCCACTGACCGGAACTGCCGTCACCCGGAAAAGCACCAGCTATGGCAAACCTGGTTCAGTGATTCTGGCCACCTCAAAAGCTCCGGGGCCCTACCACTAACCGGGTCCCCTTACCTGGGGTCCTGGCCATACCCGAACGGGTTGAGCAGGGACCGACCGTCCCGGCATTCCTATAGTCCTACCACGACATGTTCTTAGAACCCAGAATTTTTCTAAGAACCCGAACACTGGTCTTAACATATTCCCGATGTGCTAGAACAAGACGATATCAACCAGAAATGTTCTGATAACATTTCGTGCAGACCACAAAAGGTTCTCAGAACATTGTTTGGTGGGGCCATACGCGAGCCAGGACGCTTCGCCACTGCTTGAGCGGGGGCGCCCGCGCGCGCAGCCGCCACGAGGGCGCTGGCTCCCCGAGGCTCGAGGCGCCCCTGGCAGGAAGCCCCCCGAGCCTCGCCGCCTGGGGCGCCCGCGGAGCGGCCACGGGCGCGCGCGCGCGCGCGCCTTAGTTCGGGCATTGTCGTCCTACAGGCGGATTTTGGGGCGACACATAGCAACATAGCAAAACAAAATCCCCCAAAGCAGTCGAATCTGATCAACAAGAGCCTCTCCATGCTTTGTTTTGGCTATTTTTGCATGTCCCTCCTGTAGAGGGACAGGCCCCAATGCACGCTCGCCCTGGGCCACACCCTGGAAGAGCCCGCCAGCTACGAATCGGGGCGGCCAAGGGCGGGACGTTCCAGAGGGTGGTGGTGGTCCACACAGCATCCCCCCCCTACAGTCAACCCCTATATCATAAGGATGCGCGGCAAGGATGCAAAGGGCCTCGGAGGCCCATGCGAACGTTTCTTCGAGCGAGGCTGGCCAGCGAAGGTCGCTGAGGAGGGGCCGAAGGGGCAAGGATGCAAGCGCACCCTCTTGCCGTCGCTCGGACGTCCATTTCCCGTGCATTTTTCGGTTTCGTGCGCGTTTTCTTTGCTCGATGGTCCAGGATGGTCCTCAAGGGTCCTCGCCGAGAAAAAAATGCACGCGTCCGAGCGATGTTTTGCTCGATGGTCCAGGATGGTCCTCAAGGGTCCTCGCCGAGAAAAACAATACACACGTCCGAGCGATGCCAGGCCCTTGGGAAGGTGGAGGGAGGAGGGAGGAGGGAGGAGGGAGGCGGGAGGAGGAGGAGGAGGAGGAGGAGGAGGAGGAGGAGGAAGAGGAGGATCTTCTTCAGGATCTTGCCCATCCTCACCGTGCGGGGCGACCGCATCCACCCGGAGGGGCGAAGCCGAAGCGCGGCTAGAGCCGCGCGGGGCGCCAACGGAGAGAGGCCCCGGGCTCCCCCCTCCCGGCCACGCCCAGGAAGATCCCCCGCCCGCCACGGATCGGGGCGGTTCGCAGGGGAGGGTTCGCAAATCAGAGCAGGGCTGCGCTCCTCCTCCTCCTCCTCCTCCCCCTCCTCCCCCCCCCCCCCTCTTCCTCCTCCTCCTCCCCCTCCCCCTCCTCCTCCTCCTCCTCCTCCTCCTCCTCCTCCTCCTCCTCCTCCTCCTCTGGTCTGGGTTTCGGACGGCGCGCCCCCCGTGGCCGCCGGGGGGGTGCTGCCGCCGGGGGAGGAGGAGCGAGGGGGAGGGTGCAAGAAGACTCAGCGCAAGCAGAGCTGCGGAGCGTGCGGGGGAATGCTCAGATCAGCGCCGAGTGTGGGGGAGGACCAGAAGGGAAAGCTGCTCGATCCTTGAAGCAGGAAGGCGCCCAAAGTCGATTGGAATCTGGTGATCCACAAGCACGTACTTTTAGGCCGGGCATGTCCCCCTACAAGGGCATTGGGGACGAAACACATTCAATACACAACACATGCTTAAAACATACGAACACAGCTCACACATGGTTCCTTTTTTTGTAGAATGATTAGTATTACTACTACTACTACTACTACTACTACTACTACTACTACTACTACTACTACTACTACTACTACTACTACGACTACGACTACGACTACGACTACGACTACGACTACGACTACGACTACGACTACGACTACGACTACGACTACGACTACTACGACTACGACTACGACTACGACTACGACTACGACTACGACTACGACTACTACTACTACTACTACTACGACTACGACTACTACGACTACTACGACTACGA